ATATAATATATACTATATATAGTATATATGTATTATATATATATATAATATATATATATATATATATATATATATATATACATATGATCACCCGTCGTCCCGTTGATCGTCGAGCGACTCGAGCGAGCCCTAGGAACACTTTAGCCCTGTCGGTCCTCCTCGCTCTCGGGATTCGTTGAGCATCATACCTTTCTCTTGAGCTTTGCGTGAAAAAATCAGACCAATGGGTCGGTGGTCTTTCTGTAGAGTACTTGATATCGCGAGGAATGCAGTCGGTAACGGCTCTCGTCTATCGGTTGCCGTTGAAGCATCACGTGTCCGGCCTACCTTATTTTCGATTTCCTGGCGTTTTATTATTTTCAATATAATATATATTACTAAAAACAACAATATACATGTATATTTATACATACTTATAAATATATATATACATATATATTTATATATACATGTACTTTCAGGCAGAAAAGGCATTCTGTTCCATCCAGTTCTACTTTTCCTCAGCTATCGGCAAAACACTCATTGTTTGAATCATCAGACATAGTCGCTGGCAACCTGCAACGTGGTGACCACCTTGTTGTCGACCACGAAGAGGAAGTGATCGATTTCCACCCAGCTCCTTGTATATCTAATTGAGCTTTCATTATTTTTTCAGAAATGATTAGTTTTTGACGTAGTATCTGTAAAATCAAAGTTCTTGCTAAGCTAAAGATTATCTGTAGGCTAAAATGAAAAGCAAACACAGTTTTGCATCGTGGGTGGTAAAGCGGAATAAAGGTCACTTAGGTCAGGTTCCGCGAAAATTGCAGAGATATAGGATAGCTTTCCGTGATGTTCGAGACCTACTCATATAATGCTTCTTTAGTGTAGTTGGGACATAAAGATAGGTTCAGTAGCTGTGGGACAGCTTTTTTTTAGAACATTCTGTGGGGGCAGAAAAGAAGCGTTGTGTTTTCTATATATTAATCACAACGTTTCCGAAATCAGTTGCGACTACTGGTTTCATCTCTGTCTCAGGCACATCTTGTCTTTTAAACCATTCACTAACTTGTTGCAAATTTTATTTTGTGAACAAGAACTTTATGTGGCGTTAGAGATGTTTAAGTGGATTATTGAATGTTACTTTACAAGTTTCTTTTAACTTCCCCGCTCAACTGGAAGTAGAAATCGAGGCTTTTTGTCGACAGTTGGTATTTCACATGCGGTGGCTATTGACCTCCGTACTCGATGTCCACTCCATATATCAGATTTGTAGGGATTTTTTTCTTAGTTTATGCCGTTTTATAGCACTCTGGACGTGTTGGGCTTTCATTTATTTCATAACACGGGTGTGTTTGTTTCCTCCTACTTCTTTCAATTTGTAGTATTGCTGAAGTTAACACGCTTATCATTTTCCAGTACAGGTTGCCTCTTCTTCTGAATATGTACGAAAGTCATGTTGCGCAAAATTTCATTTATTCTGAGTTCTTTTGGCTTTTTTAACACTCTTTGTTTGCAAAGTTATCATGTTTTGGAAAAGCTCTGCGTTTTTTGTGCTATATCTACCTGCATTATAAATTTGCCTCTTATATTGTTGCCTATCCACGTCACTATAAAGGTAGTTGTTGACTTGAGCCCATTCGGAAGATGCTCAGATCTTCCACTGTTTTTGACCAACACATCTTCAATCTAATGGTTTATTTTGACTTATAGTGTTCCTTTCGCCGCTTATAAAAAATTTCGCAATCTTATCAAACATCATCAGTTTGAAGTGGCCAGCCCAGAAGTTGAGAACAGCATAGGTAAATTTGTATTGATAGCAATGAGTTTTCTAAACTATCCGTAGATTACCACATGCAGCTGTCTTACATTACTTTGCCTTTAACGACTTCATTTGGAAGTGCTTCGTAAATTACGGATTTCAGAGGTAAAGCTCTAAAGCTCTCGGCGTTGACCAATCCCTGAGGGATGCGCCGTGGATTTGTTTTTAATTTTTAACTTTGTTTGAGGTGGTTGAATGCATATTTGGCCTTACCTTCTCGCGGTGGCCTCCCGCTGTATCGAGTCACTGCCACTTATCCTCCAGACAAATCTGAGACGAGTCTTGTACCAATTTGCCGACCCCGGAGAGATGGATGGCTTGGTGGCCATGAGCGCGATATCAAACCATTGACCTTATGTGCGACGCAGTGCACACCTCTAACCACTGCGCTACATGCGCTCAATTGAGGGAATCAAACCGATTTGAGAGAATCGAAACGAACTTTAGAATTGCTGAGATTTTCACAACATTTGAAGTCGGATTATATAAATGAAGTTGATTCAGATAAACATCACCTATAGACTCAAGCATGCGATACTAAAAGGAACATGGCGAATATATTAAGATTAGCAAGTACTGTTGCTTGAAGGTAATAATCGAAGCTTTTTGTTTGAATGCTGCTTGGCAGAAAAAAATACCATAGCACTATCGAATCACAAGTTATCTTCATTCAGGGAATATCAAGAAGGGGAGAAAGAAACACTGAAAATACCTTTTCTATAGTGAGGGTTTTCATACGAAAGTCGACTTGATTGGCTTCAATCAAGCTAAGCCCATAATGCTTTCCAAAGGCAACTTTCACGTTAAGATGGCTGCAGAGATTGCTCAGTTGTTTGCAGTCAGATCAAACCTACAAAGCTCTTTGGAATTACGGGGAAGCGACAGCTACAGAAAAATATGCCAACCAAAGCTTTGGAGTGTAGTGATGACAGAATGCCTATTCAGCACTATGAATTTGAAAAACTAAATCAGCTTTGTAGAATTGCCAGGAGAAACGTTGTACAACAAACACTATCTAAGTGGAACGGAGTGACCACATCCATTAGATTTTCAATTGCTGTTTGTTGAGAGAACGTTTAAAATCAGGCCGCTGCTGAGCTTGCTCTCAGGGAAATCGGCGCTTCCAATATTTCAAAAAATTCTGCAACTTCGGAATATTTTGGCTTGGATCTTATCAAAATGAATGCGTCTCAAATTCGTTCAATGTTTTCAACTGAACTAGGTGAATTCACCACCCTTTCCATGTCGCTCATATACTATTCCTGTAATTTCATTGAATTGATACAATCACTCTATCATTTTATTTAATCCAAACTAAAGTTTTTTTTATTTTTATATGGATGCAATACATGTTCATAATTCAGTTCGGCACCACTGCGATTATGTGGCTTCTCCACGAAGTGTAGTCCTGAAATTCGTAACGCTCTTTCTGTTTTGCTCCAGCTCTGCCACTGTATATCGATCATTTGTATTTTCCAACCAACAGTGGACCTGCGACAATGCAAGATCAGTTGCTCCATAGTACTAGTTCCACTAACAAAAAAGAGACGAAGAGAGAAAAGTATCTGCAGGCTTTGAAAAATAAAATTCACTGCTGTAGCTACTAGAACAACATGATAATCGGTATGCAATAGGTTGGAAGGAAAGTTTTCGCGCACTTTAATAAGCATAAGATAACTCCCATGCATATCATGGGGATATTACAATTTTTATGTCTGATTTTCCCACTGGAAGCCTGAGTATTATTCCTTTCGTTTTCACTTTGTTACAAGCCTCCGCCATGTCCAATGAAACAATCAAAACTCGTGTCTCACTGCGTCACTATTGGGCAGTCGTTCACAGCGGCCTGCAGTCGACGTGAAATAAACGAAGTTGAAGGAGAAGACACAAAAGACAAATCTGCAGCTGGACGCTGGTTTCAATGTTTAAAGCCGGAGACTTTGACCTCGAAGGCAAGCTTGAAAGATCGGCGAACTGAATAGCTTGATGAACTTGGAGAAGCATGAATAGGTCAAACAAATTGTACTTTAACCAGATCCGAAACTTGATGATCTGATAAAGGAAAGTCGTAGGGAACGATTCTTTACATTTTTAAAAATAATTTTTATTGTTTTTGTTCAAAATTCCTGCATAAATTTTCGTTTTTTTACGAGTGCCCCAGAACTTACTTCCCAATCCAACAAAATTACTTTCACTAACCCACCAATGTATCTATGCAGTATAATCAATTCACAGACATGTTAAGTACGTTTTCCGATCTAAGAGCAAGAGAAATCTTGGTGTTCCTGGCCCTCTAGAGCGAGCCAAAAACCGATCTACTGCACATAGAAGGCATCTCTGTAACACTGGTCAAATCTTATAAAATTATGAAACTCAAATCAATCACCTTGTTGTTTTCATCTGAGAGTAATAGATGATTCCAGATTTCGTTTGAAAGTTGCTTGTCCATATCTACTCGTCTTCTTGGCTGAGTGATGAAACTATACATAAACCGCTCACACTTCCAATGTGCTCTTATAATCCTTCGCTGTTTGAAATCACCTTATGTACTTAATTTTCAAATACATATCCTTTGAAAAAGTCATTTCTGATGCAAATTTTACCGTATTCAAGGACGAAATCATTTTTTAATCATCTCAGATGCACATATACAGAGCAAGAACACATGTTTTTAGTGCATCTACGACAGTCTTAAGAGTGGTGACCAGTGGCAGTGATTAGAATTGGCATGCGTGTTCTTGAGAAGTCTCCATGCAATTCTTTCCGAAAAAGATTAGTTGAGATATAAAAATGTTCCATATGACAGTGCGATGGCATCAACGATGTAGAAAAGTTCATGGATTCGCTTCAATCTGAACTGAGTCGTAGGCATTCTCTGCTACAGTAAAAGTGAGGCAACAGGTATTATTTACCATATGGATGCGACATTTGTGCCAAATTTTCTCGTAATCTTGACTGCTCATATGGCCATCGTCCACCCATTTTCTATGAATCCTTGAGGACGATACGACTAGAGAAGAGATGAGAGAGGATAGCCGAATTGAATTGCACTTGTGAAAGATCCCTTTCTGTGAAACAACATATATGTTAGTCTATTGCTGTGTTGTGTTTATTGTCAAACTGCATGTCAACATTTATCATTTGTTTACAATTTTTGTTCCATAGTCACGGAAAAGAATTGAGTGGTGAGCAAAAATACGACTTCAGACAGGAGTCGAACCCGCGTTTCATCCATACCGGAGGTGCGTGCTACCACTACACCACCGATGTTGGCGGCTGACAGCTATCATTGAGATAATGAGGTATATGTGGTGGTGCAAATGTACCTCGGTGGTCTATTGGTTGCTCTCGTCTCAGCCATGAATAAAGCGCGGGTTCGACTCCCAGTCAAGGTCGTGTTTTTGCTTATCACTCAATTCTCTTGGGTATATGGAGCATCATAAACTGCGAAAAATGCAGTGAATCATTAGAAATTTTGAGTATCACTTATCACTTTGGTCTTCAAAAGCAATTATCTCTTGTCAGCAACAGTGGGCATTCTCACTCCTGGTCTGACATTAAGGAAAGCGTTATATGTCTTGTTGTAGACATTTATTCAGAGGTTCCACGATGAGAAACAGTGGCAACCACAGTGATCAAGAATGAACATAGGAACACTTTTGACAGACTGCATATCAAGCGTCGTGAGACCCCTTTAGTGGATAATAGCTAAAACTAGAAATCATAGAATTAAATGCTTCCATTCTTCCGAAGATTTCCAGAATCATTGCGAATGTTGACAGATCAATTACACCCTTCTAATATCACTTCGGGTACACTAAAATGTATGAAAACCCTAATAAGTAGGCGAAATGTTAATATATTTCAATGGTGCGTGAGAGTGATAAAAACAAGAAACCCTGGGAAAGGGTTTAATAAGACAAGAATGTTTTGACATTTAGAATAATGAATCGTATAAAATCCTAGAGCTTTTCAAAGTTTTGTTTTCCCGGTTAAGTTCACTTTTCAATCCATTCTTCACACAACCAGTCAAGGTCCTTTCTTTCACCAAGAATAGTTGTCGTCGTATGTGGATCGTACTTCACATACATTTGGAAAACTTGCCACTCCACCACTAGCCTCTGTCAAAATCAAAAATTAATGCTTAGGCTGGCTTCTTATTATTAATTGATTTTCTTGGCGGAATCTTCACTTCTTTTAATCGATTGCGCTTGCTACTTTTATTTGATTTCTTTGACGGAATCCTTAAATTTCTCAAATCGAATGCGCTTACCTAGTAGGGAAATTGTTTGATGTGAAGCACATCTTGGACGATCAAACGCAAAAGAGATCAATTATTTATTATTAGGTATCCCGCCTGTGACATTTGTCCTCTAGATCATAGTTTGGCGGAGCTTCTCGCCGGTGAATTTCTACGGCAAGTGGGTGTTCTTTTGGATCACAAAAACACAGTCAATCGCACGTATGTGCTCAGAACTCAATCGTAAAAGATCTCTTGCGTCGTTATCACATTAATATAAAGTCTCAACGTTTTAGTCCTTGGTTTTCCAGTAGTTTAAAATATACTACTTTTGCTGGCAAAGATTTCATTACTTTTTTTCAGACCTGGGTCCAGAAAGAGCAAAATGGATGAATGAATTAACACAGCGAACCGTCGACTTCAACGTTGAGAGCAATGAGCGGTGTAGAGTTATTATTAGAACAGTAAGCTGAAGTGAGAAGCGACACAATATCGATTATTATTTCGTCGCCGTTTGAATAAAAATTGCAGTTTTAGTGAGATCAGCGATTGGAACGTTTGGTAATACATAGTGACAGAGAAAAGCCTTGCAAGTGAAGAAGTTTTCAATAATAAAGGGACATCGAAGTGTAAAAAGTAAGAATCCGTAGTACGATATTTACTAGATAAAACAATCATCATACTGCCAGGACTAAAGTTTTAGAGAACAGAGCTTATGCGCTACTATTGAGCTAATGGAAGCGGAAAACAGTGGCCAAAAGCGAGTACCTCACTGAAAAGCAAATTTTTACCGTGGCTACTGCTAGATTTTGGAGTAGTGAGTTAGAACATAATGGTGAGACAGCATCAAATGGTAAAAGTCTAAAACTGTGAAAAACAGCAGGAATTTATTCTTCGCTAAGGTTACAAAGGCGAACACCATAGTTTCTACGGAGACGAAACACCAGACTTCTCTGCTGTTAAGGGGCTGCAAAATTTTGTGAAAAAGTGGAATGACGCTCTCTCAAGGATTCCTCAGAACTGGTGCGCAAAACGAAAACGTTATTAAAACAAAAGGTATGTTTGCTTGAAGGCGAATTATACAAGCAACAAAGTAGGTAACTTTTGATATTTGCAAACTCTTTTTTTGACAGTCTAGCGACTTCATCATCTATGGTCATGCATTCGTTACGGATACGAGTGAAGTAATTCTTTTATTTTTCATTGTGGTCAAGGTATAGTTACCACGTGAGTATTTGCATGCTATGGGCTGATGTATACTTCCAAATTATACGCCAATCTAATTCACTACGACCGTATGACTTGTTCACTGGAAGTTACTTGTGATCTCCAATTATTAATCTTTCGATGTAGCTTGTGAGAATGTTTAGAGCCCTTACGAGGTTGGCACGTCAGTGGCTTACGTACGTTTAGGTGATATCGCCCGCTTCAACAGAGCCACACGTCCCAAAGTGAACCCTACTTTATGGGTGGGAATGAGAAACGTTTTGGTGATGATACATGATATTGTTTGGATACGTACAAAAGTAAGCACAAAATTTTCGCCAAAAACAGGTCGTGAGATAAGTCACTACTTCATATGAATATCAATATTAAACTGGAATATGTGCATGTTATAGTATTAGTTCGATAAGAAATAGTCCACCAATAAAGCCATCTTGCCGTTTTATTTCTCTACTAATCATAAACAGCTACCACAATAGCCTCAGTATGGCTGCCGGCAGCCTCTCTTCGTAGCCTATATGGATATTTGAGCGTAATTTGAGAAAATACTTTAAATAAACGATATAATATTCAAAAATACCAACCAAGAGCTTCGAGTGTCAAGCATTCTCGATCTAATGATTTATATTCACGTGACGGCAATTAAGTAAACTGTTCGTCGTCTACTACTCTCTCTCTAGAGGGGGGGGGGGGGGGGGGCGTAGGAGCTCCTAAGAGGATTGGCTGTAGATTAAAGGCCTGCCTGATTGACAAGGCTATCAGGCCGAAATGCGTGCATCGGGTTGTACAGAAACACATTGAAGATCGCACGACAGCTGGCTCAAATAATGATTATGAGATGTATTTCTTGTTCTATTTGGTATATACCATGGGGTTGATGATAAAATTTTACGATAAGCTTTCTGAGGCGTTTCGCCTTCTTCCGAGCCGATTGATCCCAGCCAATGCTCCAATGTTTATAGTCCTTTTTAGGGTCTTTGTGATCGTTCTTGTTCGAGTCGAATTTTCAGAAGAGGAGCACAACTGAGCAACTCGGACAAACGACTGTGGTGCATCGGTTCGTATCAATCGGCTATGAAGAAGACTAAACACGTCAAAACTTTAGTCGAATACATGAATACAATCCGTATATCAGCTACGTTGCATGTGTCACATCATGCAAGAAGCTATTGCTGTTCATGCCAAAGTTCAATGAAGGTCGCTTTTCCATAGCATTGTGTAGAAATTGAAATGGCTGTGGTCACATGATAAGCCACTGCTGACCCAAGATGTCTAAAAATCAGGGCGTTGGTGAAACTCTTTCAGGGAATGAAACTCTTTCAGGGAATCACTACAGCTAGTACTCTGAGAATCTGCATTAGAACAAATATGCTCTCTTGTATTTGGTTGATCTAAATACCGCTCAAAATTGCCCTATGTTCCGGCGGAACTCGATGATCAACAAGAATTTCATGCCTTGTTTCACGTTATTCTCATTACTCTCGTATAAAAAATCTTTATTGAAATAAGAGTATACAGGCTTGCATACAGTTGATTTGATATTACATGCGGCTGGTTAGATCCTCCACGAACTTTGGTCTTGGAATTTGCAGCGTTATTTGTAACCGTTTTGCCAGTTCGGCCATCGTATATCGATCATTTGGATTTTCCGACCAACAACGAACCTAAGATGACAAGACGGCTTAGAATTTTTCTTTCTAAAACAACACGGCCTCACTACCAAACTTTACTTTTTAGGTAGCTTATTTCCTTTTAAAGTAATCGGCAAATCACAAAACGCTATTTGACACCCTGATGTACACTTGAATTTCCGGATGAACATTTGGCGGTATTTCCATTCGATAACCTTCTTTAACCTACAACTTTTGATATGAAAAGTTGAGAAATCGAAAAAAACGTCAATTACAGAGCAACGTTTGGATACTCTGCTTTTGTGTTACATTGACTCAGAACAAATGTGTGATTAAAAGTGGCCAGTGTAGGATTGAAACTTCAAAATTCCTACACATTGATGGACTTCTGCGACTGTCATTCCTGGGTATGGTTCTATGCCGTTGTTGTATATCTCCCAGCACATAACACCTTAAGATGCACATAAAAGCCATTGAAATGAGCTGAAGGCGATAGTGTATAGGGCTACCGTAACTAAACACGTCCGTTTTCTGGGTATAGATTGCCATTTTTAATGTTTCCGGTGCAAGCCATCTAATCGGAACTCTCTTATGTGGATCCATCTGATAAACGGTTCCCTCCCGAGTGAGGCCAAAATCTGAGATTTTCACCTGTAACATTAAATGCTGGTCGTTCGTACTGAGCTAATCCACTGGTGATTTTTGTGCTATTGCTTGTAAATCCATACGTTTGGAAAGCACAGAGACTCAGAATCTACCTTATTGTCTCCATATAAACAGTTTCTTGCAGCAATATCCCTATGAAGGACATTCTTGGCGTGTAAATACTCCAATCCCCAAGCTGCCTTAAGTGTTGTGAATACAAGAGAAAGCTTAATGCCTTCATGTTTAACGTCCTTACTTGCAAAACCATTTCATTCTTTTTGTCCATGGGTTGCTCATTTTTTTGAAGGTACGAGTCTAATGCACCACAGTTAGCCTGAAAACTACGAAGGACATTGTAATTTAAAACGGCTGCTATATGATTCTATGATAATGCTTTTTTCGTCTACTGTGTACACTGATCACGTTCTCAGAATCATCACTAGATCTCTAAAGAATAACCGAAACCGCACTAATTGGACGAAAGTGTCGTGTTGCTGTACTTCCTCTAAATGACGAAAAATCATTCTGAC